TTGCTCCTTGCCCTCAGCGAAGCCCCTCTCCAGAAGCGTCTCCCCTCTCTGTCCCTGGGATCAGGCTTCCGCCACCCCTCCCGACCGCAGGGCGGCAAACCAGGCACCCCCGCTCCGCCACCGGGCGGCCTGTTCCTCCCGCCCCCCCCCCCCCCCCCCATCTCCAGGTTCCTTCCTTGCCGGCTTTCCTCCCGCCTCCTGGTCGTCCAGCTCAGGGTCTTGCTGGCTCCCTGTCCTCTGCCGGCCTTTAAATGTGTCTGTTCCCCAAGGCCCTGCTGTCCTTGCTTTATCCCCTCTCACTGCAACAGGGGGTCTTAGCCAGTAGGTTGCGGGGGGGCGTGGAGCACGACTCAGATATCAGTGTTTTTAACTGAAAAATCTCTGCCACGCTCTCCTGGGGGCATCTTGTCTCCCGTTCATGGCCCCTCTCAGCAAGTTTGGCCTGCACAGCTGAAGATCCAGCCAGACCCCTCCACGCCCCGAAGCCGCATAACTGCTCGGGGCCGGGTGTATCACAGGTGTCTTACCCCGACCCCAAAACTGCCACCCATGCCTGACCCTCCTCCCATCCTCTCTTTCTTGCTCCGTGGCACCACCACTGTCTGAAGGTCAACGTCCGTATTGGTTAGTTTGGCCGCAAAGCTTTACCGGGTCCAGCGCTCCCTCCCTGCGGGCAGCCCACAGCCTCTGGTGGAGCCACCGCGCACAGCGCGCCATTCCCACACATCATCTCCTTTGCAGTGCGGCCACCCCCGTGGGAGTCCTGGCCCCTGCCAGACAGCAGCCATTCATCTTTTCAGGTCCCGGCTTGCCAGCTGAGTGGCCCTGGGCTAGGCATTCATCCTGTCTGTGCCTCAGTTTCCTCATCTGTAAAGTGAGGAGAGTAATAGTTCCTGCCTCTTGGGATTGTCATAAGCGCTACAAAGTTAAGAAGTGATAAGCTCTTAGCACAGTGCCTGACGTAGAGTAGGCGCTCAACAGATGACGGTGATGGCAGCCGTGATGATCCGTTTCCAAGTGGGGCAAGCCTTCTGGGACCTCACTCTTGCCCTGTTGAGCATTCGCTCCCCAGTGTCCTGATTCAGTGTAGCACCATTTGGTTTCCGAGTTGGTCTCCCCTTAATTGGCTGGGAGCCCCCTGAGGGCAGGGGCCATTTGTAATTCTTGATGTATTCCCAGGATCTACCTTAGTCCTTGACCCGTGCGAAGTGTTTATCAAGGGTCAGTAGGTTTGCTGAATTAACTCACCGCCTTAACCACCCACTGGCAATGGTTAAGCACAGCTGGCACCGTCTGGGTGCACCTCCGCGTGCCGCCTCTTGCCCCTGTGACTTCGTACAAGTTCACGGAGCCGCTCCCCTTCGGTTCCTCATGTGTAACGTGGGGTGCCAGCACCTCCCTCAGAGGCTGCAGTGAACTTTTCAGTAGGTGGTCAGTGTGGAGGGTGAGCCCAGGCGCAGTCAGGGGCAGCTGTTGGCAGTGGTGGGAACTGCCGCTGTGCCGGCTAAAGATGTGAGCTTCAAAGGACAACAGAGCCGAGAGTAATAACCACTGCGGACAAGAAGACGACCCGTGTGTCAGGAGGACACCCCAAGATATCTCTTCTAGCTGGTTGTAGTGAGAGATCCATGAACAGAGTGTAGGCTGGGTTGTGCAGTGTTTGGGGAAGGCTGTTCCAAAAAATAACTTTTTAATTTAAAAAAAAAAAAATCTGTTTTCCCAATATTCAAAACAGGCCTTGAGGGAGCAGCCATTCAGATATATCCTTAACAAAGTCCCTTTTATCTAAAATCTTGGTTTTTCTTAACAAAAGTGGGTTTGAGTTTATTGTTATTGTGGTTTTCACCTTTTCCTAATTTGCAATTGACCTCAATGCTGCCCATGGAGTGATGCTACAGAGGCTGAGCCTGAACAGGGCAAAGAAGCCTCCTGAGAGGTCCTGCCCCAGGTGTGCAAGCTGACTCAGAGTGAATCCATTCTTAAGCTCTTTGCCCGCAAAGCTGGTGAGGTCTTTGGCCTCCCAGAGGGAAGGCAGGGCTTTCCCACTGTCCTTCTCCTCGAGTCGGTGGTGCTTTTGGGCAGCTGGTTCCTACTCTGATGTCTTGCTCACACCTAGGGACTTGATTCTGCGGGTCTGGGTGTGGCCTGGGTGCTTCCTGGTAACTGCTGCAGGGATCCCAGGCCCACAGTTTGCAAAACACTGCCAACTCAGCCTCATCTAGGTTCTGAGGGCTCCCATAGAAGGAGAGTCTAGGCAGGAACTGGCCCTGTTTCTGGTGGTGAGCCAGGGTGGCTAGCCCATGGCTGGCTTTTTGCGCTGTGAGAGCAGGCTTTGGCTCAGCCCCATAGCTCTGATCGGGCAGCCATCTCTTTTCAGGAGCCCCAAAACACATACTGGACCCATCAGTCCTCAGGACCTGTATCCCATTCGACCAAAGCACAGGGCAAGGGACCACATAAAGAATGGCCACTCCTGGTCCCTTCTTGCCTCTAAGCCTTAATGGTGTCATTTATTTATCACCTGTTTCTGGTCCATTTGTTTTGAGCAGGCATGAAGCAAGTGGGCTCCTGCCTCAGTAGCTCCTAGCCTATGGCTCTCTCCACACCCAGGACTTGCTGGGAGGGGAAAGCCACCTAAGGATCTAGAGAGCTCACCTGCTGACGATGATACTTTGTGCCTGTCTGATTTAAATATCAGAGCATTAGACGGCCTGCTTCTCAAGGATAAAGGCCGTTATCATCTCTGCACCTTCAATGGGCCTCACTCCAGTGCTGGACAGCAGAGTAGCTGCTCAAGAGCAGTGGCTGCCTGCATTCGTCAGTGGGTCAGCCTGGGCTTCTAGAATGCTCCTGTCCTCCCCACAGCCCGCCCCATGCCTGGCTTCTCTGCCCCGGGGGAGGTCCTTACCCCCAGCTGCTCCCCGCTGGAGAGACTGCAGAGAAACTTCTGTTTGATCTGATGCAGTGGGGTGGTTTTGAGACTGTGCTTTCAGGAAAACTGTCCCCATCAGACAGTGGGATCAGTGGTGGTGGGGGCAGACAGGGCTTCCCAAAGCTGCAACGCCATGGCTTCACCAGAGGAAACTTATTTTTTCCTCCTCCAAGATCAGAGAAAGAGTAATGAGGGCAAGGGGGACAGTCCTGTCATTTCTACCGTGCGGAAGCAGGAAAGCGCTGTCGGTTCTGCCCCAGCCTGGTGCAGGGAACTGGGAGGCCGAGCAGGGCCGGACCGCAGCCCAGGCTCCGGCTGAGGGAGCACCTGAACGTGGCCCTATACAGCTAGACGCAGGAGGGAAGAACTAGTCTTGCCCTTGGTCCTTACTCTGTCTCCAGAACCCGCAGAGAGGGGGAGGCCAGGGAGCCGGCAAGGGCTTGTGGGCGGGGCATGACTGAGGCCTCGGCCCAGGGGGAGGGGCATGGGCTTGTGGGCGGGGCATGACTGAGGCCTCAGCCCAGGGGGAGGGGCATGGGCTTGTGGGCGGGGCATGACTGAGGCCTCGGCCCAGGGGGAGGGGCAAGGGTTTATGGGCGGGGCATGACTGAGGACTCAGCCCAGGGGGGAGGGGTATGAGCTTGTGGGCGGGGCATGACTGAGGCCTCGGCCCAGGGGGAGGGGCATGGGCTTGTGGGCGGGGCATGACTGAGGCCTCAGCCCAGGGGGAGGGGCATGGGCTTGTGGGCGGGGCATGACTGAGGCCTCGGCCCAGGGACGGGCTGTGTGAGCCTGCACCGTGCTGCTTGACGCCAGCAGCGGCTCTCTCCTGTCTTCTTTGTTAGCCTTGTGAGCGTGGGACAAGCCACAGGAAGAGTAGCAGCGCCCACAGGGTGTTCTTAGGAGGGGTCAGGGTGGGGACTGGAGCGGCAGCAAGTGTGCCTTCTGCGGCAGCTTGAGCAATGACGCGCGCAGAACCCACGAGGTGGAGAAGGACCTGTGGGCGGCGTTGGGGGTCCTCCTGGAGATGGGAGGATTGCAGTGGGCGGGAGCATCCGAGGAGAGCCCGAGTTTCCCAGGATGCAGTGTTCCTGTCCCCAGGTGCTGCGTCGTTGTCGGTAAAAGAGCCTGCCCATCCCAAGGCCCGAATCTCTGTCCTTGTTAATGGTGGGTGGCGCTCAGAGTGCACCAGGAACCGCCCAGGAGAGCTTGAGGCCGTGTCTGCGAAACTCCGGGGCTTGGCCTCAGGGTTGGCATTAGCCTGGAGTTTGCAATGCATCTTGGGCTTTTAAAATCCTTCTCTTGTGAAAATGCAAGTTGATTTCCCTGCTGGTGCTTTTGGTCGGTGAGGACTGTGGGGAAGGGCAGATGACACACCCAGCTGCTTTCAGAACAGTTCTGGGTAGTCGTTCAACTCTAAATTTAATCCAAAGCCCACGTTTCCACTGGTGAAGGAAGCAACTGGGTGGAGGAAGCTGTCTGTGGACAAATGAGGATAATAGTTGGAGCGAATTAGCAAGTGTGGAGAGAAGAGCCCATGAGCAGAGTGACAAATTTAGAATCTTTAAAGACATCTGGTCAGCGAGGCCGGCTCGTGATTGAGTGGTTAATAATGGAACACCCTTAGTTCAGTGTTTCCGCCGTCCCTGGCCACTTCCCCTGCCAGGGCCGCCCTTCTGCTCCAGCCTGCCAGAGACGTTTCCAGCCGGACAGTGGAGGCGTTGAGCCCCTCGTGTGTGACCTTTATGAGCTTAAGGTTTCAGCATTTCTGCTACTTATCCAGCTTATCTATGTTCTTTAATCGACAACTCACTGAGAAGATTCCCGATTTCCTTTCATATTTGATACAGTTTCACTCAGCCTGACAAATGCTTTCCCACTGCTGGCCAGAGCCTCACCCTCAGGGTCCCCCAGACTTGCAGCTCCCGGTTCACTGTCCCTCAGATACACACAGCAGTGGAACACGTTGACAGGGCTGAGGTTGGCCCATGTCCCCCTGCTCTCTGAAGCCTATTGCCCCCGGTTCGCAGGGCCCGTCTCTCTAACTCTGTGGGTGATTTTTCTCCAGGCTAAAGCAGCTGGACAAGCACAGCCAGGCCACAGCCCAGCAGCTGGCGCAGCTCCTCAGCAAGCAGAACCAGCTTCTGCTGGAGAGACAGAGCCTGGCGGAGGAGGCGGGACGTCTGAGCTCCCAGGTACTGTGCAACACCCAGCACAGGGTGGGCGTCCTCTCCCCCAGAGAACACGCAGGGGACTGCACAGGGGTCTTTTTCTTGTTCCCTTTTTCAGAGCTGCATTTTAAGAGGCTTAAATCCCCAGTGATCACATTGGTCAGCTGAGAAGCTGAGGGAGAGCCTGAAGACTGTGCTGGGCACGAGGGGGACACAGAGGAGCGGGGGCCACGGCCAGTCCTCTTTAGGGAGCTGGAGTTTGTGTGGGAGAACAGACCTGTGACCCTGCAAGCGACCCAGCAAGCCGCACCGAGGGATACGCTGCACAGTGCGGGTGCCGAGGGTGCGTGTGGCAGCGGAGCGGGGCGTGGGTAGGAGGCCTTTGGGACACGATCGGCTCCGAACTGCTCCTGAAGGATGTGCACAGCTTGAGCTGGTTAAGGACAGCCGTGCTCCCAGTTAGAGAATGGGATGCGGGAGTCTTGTCCTCAGTTAGCTGGTAGTCGAGCTAAGATTTTGAGCGCTTGCAGGGCCTGGCGGTGTTCTGCACACAACAGGCATTCACTCTTTACCCTTGAGGAAGCCCGCAAGACTGACATTGTGTCTCCATTCTACAGAAAGGGAAACTGAGGCTCAAACAAGCCGATAGAGCTAGCAAATAGGGACACTGCAAATCAAGCTGTCTGACTCCACAGCCCAGGCTTTCCCTGTTCAGGTAGATCTGGGGCCAGCAGCAGGGATAATGGAGGAAGGAAATGTCCAGGTGGGTTGGAGTATGGAGTGAAAGCTTTTTCCTGGATCTCTTCTCTTCCTGTCAGAGGCCGTGCTGCTTTGCCCCGTCAAGCGGTGCATTAGGGTAACGAGGTGGTCCGTGGCTGCCCGGGGCCGCGGCCTTTAATTGGCCTTGCACCAGGTGCTCCGAGAGTGTCCAGGACGTCATGCAGAAGTGCTTGCAACGAGTAAAGGCAAAAATGCTTCTGGAAATGAGAATGATGAGAAAATGTCCCTCATTCTCCTTCCAAGATGACCAGTGGACTTCGGGGATCCACTGTCCTCAGAGGGATTTTTCCCGCACAGCCCCCAAATCCCTCTGCAGGGTACTGTTTGTCCCACAGATAGTATGTGAGCACCCGAGTGCCAGTCACGGGGCTAAGGCCCGGGCCAGAGACACGCGGTATGTCCCCCAGCACCTCGGGGTGGCTCACAGGGAGGGGGTGGGGTACCAGCTACACACCACGCACATCACTGTGTTTGGGACGCTTGCAGATATACAAGTACCAGGAGCGTGGAGTCCAGGGCCTGCCTGCACACACACCAAGGCAGCGTCTCCAGGAGCAGGGCCTGGGGATCTGCGCTCTGACAAGCTGTTTGGGCCGTTCTGGAGGTCCCTGAGGTCTGAGAACGTTGGAAGTGTTTGGAGGCAGAGAGAATGGAGAACAATGCCAGGCAGTGTCATTGTCGTGAGGCCCTGGACAAGTCACTGCCGTCTCTTCCCGGCCTCAGTTTCCACGTCTGTGCAGTGGGTGTTCCGGCAGCCTAGCTCAGGGGAGTGACGTGCTGAGTGCCTCTGGGAGGCGCTGGGCAGGGGCATCTTCCTGGCACTCCGAGCGCGGGCTGCTCCTCTCGGTTCTGGACAGGTCGTTGTCACGTGGGGTTGCCTTGTAGCTCCCCGTGTGCCTACCTTCCAGCATGCTCAGATCTTAACATGCTTAGAAACCTCTTCCGCGGCTTTACAGATCTGATAATTGCCAAATGGATTGCAAAATTTTCATAAAATGTATGTAAAAAAAGCCGCAAACCTCAAAAAGTCCTCAGAAAACCCAGCAGCTTTCTTCCCTCGCCTGAAGCAACAGAAGCCACTTGACGGGCTGTGCCCCCTGACGCTGGCCCATCGGGCTTGTCTCTGAAGCCATCTCTCAGACTCGAATATTCCGTCTGGGTTATTTTCATGTGCACCTGACAAAGGAAGTTGGGGGAGGCAGCGCTCGCTGGCTTCAGAAGCAAGCACACGTGCTCAGAGAGGAGGCCGGAGAGCTGGCCGGTCCCTCTGCGGGCCCTGCAGCCTGGCCGCCCTCCCGCCTGCCCGCGGCCTCGGCCGGGCGCTGAACTCCAGTGGTGGGTTTGGCTTCTCTGAGCCCTGGAGGTGAATAAGGCTGCCCTCTGCCACCGCAGGTGGTTCGGAGGCCGCAGCCTCCAGAGGGGTCCCGGGCATCAGGGGCACCCCCCGTTTTCCTGGAGCTGGGACCCAGCTTCTCTTCCGGTCGGGGTGCTCTAGCTCAAGGCTTCCATTCTCTCAGCCTAGATGAATAAGTATAATAACTTAATGCTGCATGTCAAAGTCCGAAAATCTCTGTCCACCCAACGTCCGAAAGAGAATGGCTATATTCTAGCCTGAGCAGCTGCTCCGAAGCCGAGTCACCTCCCTCCCGTTCACTCTGGTGTGCCCTGTGCCCTGAGGCCCGTGGCAGGGCTTGGCTTGGCCTGTGGCCTCAGACAGGAAGCATCTAGCCTGTTTAGAAGGCTTTATTATTCTAAATTGTTTCTGCTTAAATTCTGAAATGGGCACGACAACGTGTCTGGCAGACGGAGCTGGTCTAGTTGCAATGATGTTGTAGTGACATCGTCCCCTCTCTGCCACCGTGCAGTGCAGGTGCCCCAGTGGCCAAGGCTCAGGGCACGACCACAAAGCTCAAGGCTGCTTTTTGACTTGTTCTTTGTTTAGGACTGACTCAAAACAAGGGCTTTGTTAATCTCCTGCTTCACTCCAGGGGGAAACAATGTCTAAAATGGCTTAGAAAATGTCCTGAAATGGCAGTGCTGGCCCTGGCAGAGAATCAGAGACAGGACAGCACCAACCAGCTTTGCTCCTGACTCGCCTCCAGCATTCCTCCTCGGTCCCCGCCTTCCCCCTAGGGTCCGCCTTCGCCCTCGGTCCCGTGTTGTCTCCTCTTGGGCCCAGGGCTTGGTTGAGCAGCAGTGCTCTCACCTCTTCCTGGGCCGTGGGCGTGAGGCCCTGCTGGGGAGGACAGAGACTGTCGTGGTGGTGGCGTGGTGGGGGTCCAGGGTTAAGGAACCAGGGTCCTGAGGAGTTTAGCCAGGCTGACAGCTGGGAGCAGGGTCAGGGGTCTGTGACCCAGCTCCTGGGGGCGTGAACATCTGGCCGGGCGCCGGCTGGTGAGGAAATTTAGTCTTTTCTTGGGGAGAATGGCATCTGAGAGACAGGAAGAACAGCAGTTGTCTGTCTGTTAGAGGACGGCCGCATACTTCCAGAGTGTCTTCCTTGCTCATGTCCTTACTTGGTGGTGACTGTGGCTGGGCTGACGCGCATCTCCCGAGGGGCCCCATCCCTGCGGGCCGTGTGGCTCCATCCACAGCCTCCAGTCGGGAGAGATTCCTTTATAGTCCCTTCAGATGGATCAATTACAGTGTAGACAACAGCGTCTGAAACGGACTTATCAGTGGTTACTCAGCTGACCCTAAGACTTTTGAGCATTCTTGGCAGTGAATTTACTTTCTAATTTGATTTAAACTTGTGCATGGGTCCAGCAGCCATATCTGATTATATTCAAACTCCCGGACCTGATCTCGTTGCTCCAGAGGACTCCTGGAAGAGCGCTGAGAACAGGCCCGAGAAACAAAGACACAGAGGCGGAGGAGGCCTCAGCCACGTGAGCCCCGGGAGGGCCCGAGGGGCCGGCGAGGAGGAGGAGCCCGCAGGTGGCCAGCCTGGGACTTGGAGGTGTTCACTGGGTTTGCGGTGGGCCATCCCGAGCCGGGGCCTCGTCCGGCCGGCGCAGGCGCTTCCGCGGAGCCAGCTACCTGCAAGACAGATGGTGCTGGAAGAGAACGGCAAAGACGCTGAAGAAAATAAATTAAAAAGCCTCCTCCTGAACCAAGAGTTTTTGGAAAGAATTCTAAATAGATGAAAACAAACAATTTGATTTCAACCAAATTGTTGTTTTTTTGTTTTTATCCTGATTTTCACCCGAATTGTCAGTCTCAAAAATAAACACTGATACATTCCCAGAAAATATTTTTCAAATAAAATCTGACTCTGTTAAAGTTTGCTCTGATTCTTTCAAAACTGTGTACGAGACACTGTCAACCAAAGTGACTTGCATATTTTTTTAAATAAACTTGAACATATGCAGCTAAAATGTCATTAACTCCCGGCTGCCCGAGTGTTTCAGGGAAGGCAGGCCCCGAGCCGCGCCTCCGCCTCCAGGGCCTCCCAGCGCAGAGGGGCTGCCCCGAGCCGTCGCGCAGAGGGCTTCACTTTCTTTTTTTTAAACTAAAGTCCCTGTGTGCAATTAATATTGGAAAGCACCTACAGCTTCATTTAAACCAAACTTGCTCTTCCGTTAACACGTCCCTTTGTCCAAGAGTGAAGAATTTCAGAATGAGAGTCGTGGAAGAAAGATCCATTGAAGTTTACATCGTGGCAGATACGTTCGCTCTGCTCCCGCTTCCCGAGTCAGACGTTACATTTTCAATATAAATTCACAATCGAGATTTTAAGGGGAGCTAAATATTTTAATCCAATTAGACAAGTGAACAAAACACTGAATATTGCATGGCGTGTGGATAAGTGGTTCTTGCCTTTAAAAGACTGCAGTTCCGTCACATTACAACCCCAAATGTCAATGTTGTCTTTATTTCTAACGCTTTCAAACATGAGGCAGCCAGAGGCTCCACTCCCTGCTGTTGGTGACACTGTCTGTCCTTTGGGAATTCTTAACATCTATTTACCATGGAAACATGGTTCACATAAAACAGAGACACCTGCCCTTGTGCAGAGGAGGTTCTCGTGATTCAGGGGACCCACTGGAGGATTACAACTCGGGGTCCCATGGGGATGGGAGCTCTTGAGTCTGCTAGTGCTGTGGGGAGGCGAGGGCCCAGCAGATGCCAGAGCCTGGGCGTGCTGTCCTCTGAGCCCGAGCCCTCCCATCTGCACCGGGTCCCTTGCCTCCCCCGCCCCACAAGTCCCACATCCAGCTTGAGATGCAGTTTTCCATGAAGCCCAGGGACGGTCATCGCCCCCTGCTTTCTGCAAGGCAGGCTTCCCTGCCTCTACCTTGTCATTTTTCTGGCTTCTACAGTTCTTTTCCTTTTTTGGAGCCCAGAGACAGAAAGCCAGGCCCCTTAGGCCAGGGAACCCGGGTTTTGAACTCTGACTGCAGCAGAGCTGCCATTGTCAGAGGCCAGCCGGGCGCTGGAAGGGAAAATGAACTGCTGGGTCTGCGGTGACCGTGCCGTGAACTCCTGCCCCGCTTTGCAGCTGGCAACAGCCAGATTCCAAAAAAGGCCGTGCCGGAGCCGGAGGGGTAGAGGCGGCTCAGCCGCTTGTGCCGGGGGAGAGGGAGGCCTCTGCCCGTCCCAGGCGCTGAGGCCGGGTGGAGGACACCTGCCTTCTGTCTGCTGCACACTCACCTCTGTCGGCCACGTCCACATGAGGCTGCAGAGGACTGGCCAGGGCGCCTGCCCCTGAGCAGACTGGCGACCCCGTGGCTCACTTGGCTTGTTTCCAGGTTGTCTTCCACATCTGACTCCTGCTTAATCCCACAACTGTCACACTTGGCCGCCGCAGTCTGTCACTGGGCTGGGTGGAACAGCACTGAAGAGCCTGGACACTGAGGGCCAACTGCCCCGGTTCAAACCTCAGCTCTGTACCACTTCAGGCTAATGTTTTAGCTTCCATATCCCTGTTTCTGGTATAAAACAAAAAACATAACAATAGATCCGGCTTCCCTTTCAAAGGGAGCTCCCTGCATCCCCCAGAGCCCAGCAGGGATGGCCATGAAGCCAGCAGGGTTTGCACTGAAGTCATCACAGCCTTGAGGGCCGCTTGGAGAAAGCATTTAACATCGTTTTTGTACAGATAGGAAAATAAGGCCTAGAGAAATGAAGCGACAAGAACTGGGAAGCGAATGGGCAGGAAAGGAACTTCTAGAGAGATCGGGACTCATGCCCTGGGCTGAGGGCTGGTTGGAAGGGGGCGAGGGACCACGGGGAAGGATGCTGCCTGGCTGGGAAAGCTGCAGAGCAGCGGCCCTGGCTCCCAGAGGGGGGCGTGGCGGAGCCTCTGAGAGGGCTCTTCTGGTGGCTGTCCTGGAGCTCTGTCAGCTGAGGGCAAGCTTTGAAATGCCCCAGGTGGAGGTGGGGGGAGGGATTCTGCCCTCTCTGGATAAAAATAGATGCTTTCTTGCCAGAGGCACAAGGAACAGGACCATTTTTTGACCTGGCCACACGGAGGCAGAAGATGTGCAAATGACAAGGCAGAGAGCAAGGAGAGGGTTCCACTTGGAGGGGCTGTGGGGGAGATGTGCAGAGAAGAGAGACCAATGGAAGCCTGGCTCAGGCTGCAGCTGCCCATCTCCTGTGAGCGGGCCGAGGTGGTGCCCTGCTGTCCCCGGGCTGCGCAGGCTTGGGAACAAAGCAGCAGCCATGGCTGGACCCCACAGTGTTGGTTGCCTGGGGAACAATTCACGTCCCCCAGAGAGACTCGTTTTTTAACCTCTGAATTTAAAGTCAAACTTCAGAAATAAATTAGACACAAAAGTCAGGGTTTGTGGAGAGAAGGCTCTGTTAGGATTTAAAATGAGAACAAAGAAAATGGATGAGCAACAGTGAGCTTGAAGATGGGGAGCATTTCTATCATCTGTGGATGGTGTGTCAGAAGCGCAGCCGCCAGGGCGGCCCGTCGGTCCTCCTCCACTCTGGAGAGCAGCCCCGGAGAGCTGATGTGGCCACACCACAGAGAAGGGCCACAGCAAGGGGCCTGGGCGACAAGTGGAAGGGCAGAAGGACAAGAACATGGTGGCTGAGGGCTCAAGCCACAGTTCCAGCCAGCTGACGTCCCACTGGCAGGCGCATCCTCGTCTCTCCTCCACAGCCGGAGTGGGATCACTGTGGTGTGAACGATGGAACTGACTTTCTGGAAATAAGCCTGGCTAATATGCCTAAGAAGTGATGGCAGACCAGCCAGATTTGGGCAGTAACTAAAGCTTCTCTCTCTGGACGCGCTATAGGATGGGGGAAGCCCTGAGCAGTGTTCTTTACTAAAGGGTCAGTGAACTGACGGCTGTGTTTAGCAGACAAAACAATGACCTATTAGGGTAAATAACTCCTTCAGTCAGAGGTTTCCTGAACACCTCCCACAGGGCGCGCAGCCGTGGGCACTGGGGAGCGAGCAGTGAACAGCAAGTACTAGAATACGAAAGTGAGGTCAAATACAGGGCTTTGCACCAAAACCAAATAAAATATAAAACCGATGAAGAGACAGTGATAGCCAGTTTGCTACAGAGGGAGAAACCAGGGTTGACTCTGGTTTGTTCACATGGAGGGCCTCACAGCTGTGTCGCTCCTGACTGGGCCCCGGAGCTGGGGTCACTGGTTTATGGCTCGGATGATAAATTATGAGATGGCCCCAGAGCCCTCAGGCACCACCAAGGCTCATAATGAGAAATGCCAGTTTCCTGGAGCTTGGGTTTAAAAAAATCCTGCAACGTATTTTCCTTCAACTCGGGTCTTTCCCAACGTTCTGTATGGTGCATCTGCCTGTTATCGTGTGTTTTCTACCTGAAGTTCAGTTAAATTTTTCTTTGGCAATATGCCTCTTGTGGTTTATGCTTATCCTTGTAGTCAGACATCCTTGAATCTCTAAAGTCAGAAAATAAGCCACTGCCTCCAGAGCACCCAGGTCACCAGGCCGCCCGCCAGGTCACCTGCGAGAGTGTGGGGCACAGGGTCCTTCATGGAACTGTACTGGGACAGTTCAGTCAAGACTGGAAGGCAATCAGCTCTCGATGGAGATGCAGTGTTTGATGGTCAGATGGAGCTGGTGGCGGCCTCTGTGCTTGAGTATTTCCCTAAACACAGAAGGGAGCCCTTTCTACAGCAGGGGGCCTCTGGGCCATGGGGGACTCCCTGCGGCCCATCCAGGAAGGGCCCAGAGAACAGAAGCCCCCTGTGGGCTCTAAGGAAGAGGGCCCACCCACACCCAGCCCTCAGCGGGCTGCACACATCACACCACACGTGATGTGGGCCCAGATGTGTTCAGTGGGAGATGGCGCTGTGCGCACCATATTCTAACTGCCCTGTGTCAAAACCATTCCATTTAGACAGTCATTCAAGCGTCATAATCAGGGTCACACACACTAGATATCTACTCGAAACGTAAACAACCTTTTCTCATTGTTTTAAAAAGGCAGCAGTCTGATTTTTATGTACCTTGCATGAATTCTGATCCCAGTTTCACTCAGTGTCCCGTCCTGGAAATCCTCAACTAGTGATCACAGCTTACACGAGGTCAACAGGAGCCCCGCTGATTCTAGCTCAGGACATCGGCCTTGTGGGTGCAGAGGCCCCCTTGTTCTTGAAGATGATTCCAGCCAAACAGAGAGCAGATTGGGCCTGTGACCCTGCGTGGCTTTCCAGTTTCTCTGTTGAAGTAGAAACTGGGATTTGCAAGGTATCGTCTTAGCTCTCCATCTAGTCCCTATCGTGGGAGGGACTTCACACAAGGGAGGGCAAGGCCTGTGGCTCACTCATACTTCCCACATGGTGCACAGTAGGTACTCAACCGTCGTTGTGTGGAGCACGGCCATTCCCAGCAGTTTCTGACCCCACTTCCTGACGCGGTTTCAACACGAGCAGCACGCCAGCAGGGAGGCGGCGGCAGCACCACTTCCCTGCTTGTGGCGCCCCCAACCCAGTTTGCTAGTTTGGAAACATTTATTCCTGCTTAAAACTAAGAGACCCAGTACACCAAATGCCCTCTTCCAGCAGGGGAGCGGTGGTGTCCCTGGGAAACCCTTTTCGATGTTATAATAAATTGTAGCTAAAAATTGGGAGGCTTTGGCTCGCACTGTGTCCCCAGGAGCTCGAGGGCCGCCTGGCCTGCCGCCTGCCCCCCGCCCTTGCTCTAGCCTCTCTCCTGCCGGCTGAGCAGTTCTCAGGAAACAGGCTCGGGCAGGAATCGTGTTTCCTCTGCGGGACGGGAAGAGAGGGCCCTCCGGCTGAGTCCTGTCGTCAGACTCCCTCATTTAAGGGGCACACAAATGTCTGGGACACAGGTTGCTTCCAGATTAAAGCATTGAAACAAACTAGTTCACCCTGTAGTCCTATTTGACAGGGGTTTTGACCTGTGATCAAGATGAGACACAAACTTTTCATACAATTGGTCATATACAATTTCTACATTTTTAGCAAAAGAAATTTATTCTCCAAAAACTTAAAAGTGGTAACTAAACCAGTGAGAAGACAAACCACATTGAAGAACAGGATCTATTTAAACTTACTTTTTATTATCATTTTTTCCAGTTACCCAGCATGCCACAGTCTGATTGCTGACCTGATGAAACAGAGTGGAATAAAGGATTTACAAAGAGATACTGACATTCATCTGGTTTGTATGTGAGACGCCACCACGCGCTGCGACCTCCCTGGTGGACACCCCCCAGAAGGTGGTGGCCGCGTGGGGGCCACATTGGTTGCCGAGCGGTCCCTACACGACGGACGGCTGGAGCTGAAGTCTGACAGATGAGGGGCCCTCCTGGTGTGTGTTTTCAGAAATGGCTTGAGGGTATTATGTTTTTAAATCTGCTCATTTGTATGCTATGTTACACATATGAATTTCAATAAATGAACTTTTCAAAGACTTGAATTGCAATGTTTCCTTTTTACCTCGTGGTGATGAACGAAACACACCAAAAAGGCACATATTTTAACTAGGCCAAAGGGTATTGAGGACCAAACCTTTTTCCTGCCATTCCTGTTCTTTCCTCTTTTTGCGGTCTGTATGTCATCCTTCAACCTTATCTGCCTGTAATTAACATCCTGTAGACGCCCTGACTTCTCATCTGGCTAATCTGACACCATCAGGAGCCCCCAGGAAGCACCAAGCACCAAGCACCCTCCTCTCCACTCTTAACAACAGACGAGAAAGCCGCTCTGGCTCGGTGGTGCCCCTTCTTCTTCAACACAGGGATCTGAGAGGAGCCTAAAAACATACTTAGTGAAATTACAAAATGTACTTTGAGTTCTATCAAATATCTGTACACAGGTTACTATTTTAGTTTAAAATAGTATTTCTACTATACACAGTTAAGCCCTCAAATGCTTTAAAGTAATAAAACCGGGCACTGAAAATGTTGTGTTGTCTCTGAGGATGACAGTGAGACACTGAAGGCGAGGCTGCAGTTGGACCGGCCCCTGACTTCAGGCTGTTCTCCTGCCAGCACTCTGCCGTCATCGCCACGGCCTCTCCGGATCGGTGTGGACTAGGCTGTGGGGGCGGTGGCATGACACAAACGCAAAGACCACTTGAGTCTCCTGAGCATGGAAAAGGTTCAAGCCTGAAAGAATAAAACTTCAGATTCACAAGTTTTTGATTTCATCACATGTGCTAGACACAAAGGCTGTCACATAAGATATATTAATTGTCCCTAATTCTGTTTTAGGAATACAGTAAATAAATTACACAATATTCTAAAAATAGCACCTTGAAAGGATTATAGAGGACACTCTCTGGTAGCCTCCTGGATCTGTCAGCCCCAGTGGTTTTGAGAGAGGGCACATGTAAGAGGCCCTCAGATTTGGTGTGTGACATACACGGACACGCCTAACTTTGGTCCCAGAGCCATTCCTCTGTCTGGCCCCATCCCAGGAGGAAAGCCAAGTTTCTACAATAGTAGGATTATGAGGTAAAATCAGAAAAAGGCCCCACCAAAATGATTCTGGGTCCATCAGAGTGTAGTCCAGTCATCCTACCCATCGATTACTGATGCCTAAGTTGGTTAATTTGCCATGAAGTTTTGAAAATACACTCTCAAAAAGGAAGTATGCAGAGCAACACGTTATCAGGAAGACATCACTGACGAGCTACACTCCTGAAGAATCCTGGGTCCAAATCATCTGGTGGGAAGATCGTTAGGGTCTTAACAAATCCCCGAGGAGACCTAGTCCATCCCTGGCTTCACAGCGCTGAGTCGGCACCTGCCCTGGGGAGCAGCCCCACGTCAGTCTGAGCAACTGCCGACCGCCACGTGACTGAAGCAACACAAGAACCCCGTGTGTGCTTGCAGCCACAGGGAATTTACCTGTCTTCCTGCCACGTTTTCTACAGGGCGGGTCAATACCAGGGGGAGGGATTAAAAATCTTTTTTCAGGAAAGAACAATATTTAATTTTCTGCGATTACAGAACCACATCCAACAACAATAAACAGAGAAGTAGCAGATTGACATAGTGCTTTATTTAAGCTGTCTGTACGAAGGAAAATAATGTGCATCCCTATCATATGCGTGTAAAAATACTAAGGATGTACAGTGTACAAAACAGTTTCTTGTAGTTATTTCACATCCTTGCGGGTCATATACTTAAGGAAATAAACAGTTTTAGTATGACCAACGGTAATAGTAATACAGTTTCTTGGGTTCATAGTTGCGTCTGCTTAAAATCCTTACCCAGATGACTAGATCTTGCGCGGATCTAATGAAAGAACTAGCCAGGTCAAGAGATGTCACAAACTATAAAGCTACAGGGAGGTAATTCAATTACCAATTTAGAGGTTTTCTTTTTATTTAAATAAATACTTTACATTTCATGCTTGCCTGTAATGCACTACCAGGAGCAAGATCAGGAAATTCTACTGTAGACGGGACAAACAGTAGCAGCAAAGTGTGTACACTGAGGTGTAATATCGAGACCCTGCAGTTAGTAAGGACGGCCCTTACTGTTGTACTCTAGGAGAAGCAAGAGGCCCCTGCAAGAACACTCAGCTTTAAGAAGCCAGAAATCAGGTCTGGGACATGGAAAACAACACTGGAATAATGCTATGAAATTAGTGTGGAAAGCAAAGCTGTGCGCAACCCTGCCACAAACCCGAGCAGAAATGGCCAATTTCCTCCAAGACGGCCGCATCACGACAAGAGGGCAAACCATGAAAGTCAGGACGAGATGGAGCCCACGCAGTCTGCACTGCACTCTGCTAGAATGAGCCTAGGGTTCAGACTTGTCCATCTGCCAGAGTCCAAAACTACAGCTAGGGGCAGACACGGGGAAGTTTGATAAATCTCCTTCTACATCCATCTCTCTTTTTCTCCATGTCAGCTGATTGAGATCTGGGACTGAAAGTGAGGGATTCTCAAAATCGAAGCCAAGAAAACACTGAGCATGACACTAACGGAACCTCGGGTGGGGCTGGGGGATCAGTGACGGAGCCCCGGGCACTGGCTGGGGACTGAGAGCCAGCCGTGAGGAGTGGCCAGCCCGGGGCACTGCCGACGCCATCATTAATCTTTAGGAAGTATCCTTGGCCAAGGTCATGGAAATCACCTTAATACTTGGGGGAAAAGAAAAAGCTACCGATGTGCCTGGTGTGCGGTGTCACACGCTCCCGCTAAAGGACGAGCGCTCTGAGCTCCGGCCAGTCAGCCTTCACCAAGTCTCTCTCACCTGGTTCTTTTATGTAACGTATGCAAGACAACTTACAGAACATACCTTCTAGTCTACTTTCGTGTCAAAGTGAAGCATTCAACAAAATCCAAGTGAGAAAAAGAAGCTGAGCTGTAAGAAAGGATGAACCACCATTCGCTGTAACTTCTTACTCAGGACGAAGGATGGACTTCACTCAGGTAGAGATACGAAAAATCAGGATAAAATCTATGTTGGAATGTGTCTTAGCTGCCTTAGTAAAATGCCCTTTACCCCCGTCAGTCCCAGCGGTCCGCCCGCCCCGCGTGGTCTCCTGTCTCTACATCCGTACTTCCAGCGCCAAGAGGCTAAGACATCTGCAGATGAGCAGGACTCAGCCTGCGAGGAGTCACGGCGCAGGCGAACGCTGCGCCATGCTGCGGTCCTCCGTTTGGGAGCTGTCAGACAGGTACCACCACGCATTTCCACGATCACTCCTGGAGTCAGATGGCCTCCCGCGTGCTGCAAGAGGGCCCCCAGCCTCCTGGGCTTCATAGGCTGCTTTGGAAAATGCCAGCTCCTAGCACCAAAGGGTTTAATCTGAAGGTCATCATTAATGAAGGAGAAAAATGAGGTTTGCATACATGTCCCCTTTCAGTGAGAAATGTTAGAATTTGGAGACATGAGTATATACAGAAAAAGAAAAGCTGGAGGTGTTCTTTTTTTGTTTTTTTCCCTGATGGCTTAATTCAGTGATAAATGTACCATGATCAGAATAAACACACCAGGTTCTTATCCTCTACTGCCTACTTCGTAAATACTCAAGATGTGTTCTTTTTGCCAAGTAGAGTTCACTTCTTATCCTCATTCAGGTGTCAGTTTTCTTCACTACATGACGTTGCCAGGCCGTCATCACAGTTCACTTCTCAACGGAGCGAACATCACTATCCACTTGTCTCGTTAACCCCTTGGCATGGAGAGTTGGGAATTTGCTCATTTTTAGCACCAAGGGGTTAATGACAGCATCTCTTCTCCCAGAGCCACATTCTAACCAATACAGACAGCTCCAGAGCCTCATCCACACTTGTTTACATAGGAGAAAAAGTGCATGATTCTCATCGGTGTGTACATTCCTCGCACATGGGTCAAAATAAACTGTAGTATGTCTATTTTATGTAAGTTGGAGCTGCATTTGCTAACATGACATACAATTCTCATTACTAAAAAATAAATACTACTGCAATATAAACAAAATCATAAAAGGACATTCAAAGTTTAACATCCGAGAAAAAGCTAATTCACGCAGAACTGAAAGTAAAAAATTAAAACAAATAAGGCAAACACCTGTTTACCTTGGTGTCCAAATTTGGTGAAAAGCAGGATCGTTACACCTGTCTACATTCTTCAGCCATCAGAGGTGATAAATATCAAGAAGGGAAAAAGGTTTCCAAGCACAGGGAAAAAATGCTCTCTGGTGCAAATCACGTCCTAGACCCTGCAGTGACCTTGGCCTGCTTGCATATGCTCTCTTCCTTGGGAGAACAACGTTCACTTGCCCACGACTGCCTCTGAAATCTGGATGTCCACGTGGCGCACGGAGCTGCCTCTGTAGCATCCAACAGGAATTTAAATAAATATGTACATACATATCTATGCCCGCAGTCGTTCAGTCCTCCCCTCAATGCTTCCTAATGAACTCCAGCCAGATCCGAGTGACACATACCCTCTTTATGCACTGATCTGACGTGCTGTACTACAATTCTGCGTATGCACACCACCACCCTCCCACAATCGCTTGTTCTGAATTATAAACTAAATCTTCTTAGTCTAATTAGTCTGCATCTTCTAGAAAGTTAAAAAATGTACCTAGAATCAGTGTATCTCATTAGCCTTCACCGTTAGGGAAAACAAAAACTAAAAGATCAAAAGATGACAATCGGTGCACAAATGAACGATGGTGGGCTCATGACTTCCGAAGATTGTACAATTACCTCTTAAAGTTGCTATAATAGTAAGACAGTAGCAGCAACAGCATGAGACCTTAGACTTAGATACAATTTCATGCAAAAACAAAAGGGCGCGTGTGTGCGTCTGTGTGTTCGTGTGGGCGGAGCGGCGAGGGGCGGAGACCTGCTGGGTCCGGGGTGTCTGAAGGTGCTCCTGCTATTTGTGGGAGCGAGGCCTGCTGTGACGCGCAGGAGTCACTCTCAGGAGGAAATCTAAGGTGGCCGTGAAGGAGCAGGATGAAGGAGGCTTATTCCCGTCCACTTGCGGAGTAGGAAAACTGCGGGAAGTGCGGCCGCCGCTCGTTGTCCATGCAGTCCATGCCGTCCTCGTCATCTGCAGGCAGGAAACAGCTCTGTTAACTTTACAGTTATTTTCTGCAACGTTATCTCTGGTCTATACAGTTCTAACTTCTCACATCATAAAGATCGACAGAGGCAACAGCTCCCAGAAACTTGTCATCAGCAAAACATATAGTAAGTAAACTCACTTCAAAAATTATCTCATTTTCAAACACATGATCTACGAAGAAATGATACTGTCAAATCATCTCCTTCAAGACACTAACATTTCAAGACTCAAACTGAAAAAACACCACTGAAGGAAACAAAGTTTTTTTTAAATACGAAGGAACAAATGATCTTCGATAACCTTTAATTTCATGGAACTACGCATGTCAAAATACAGAAGTCAATGAATCCGAGGCAGCCAGTGTCTGTCCAGAATCCACTAACACCTGTCTTCAAACGCTTGTGTTTCTTCTTCATGCTGCTTTAGTGTGATCACAAAATAAAGCTTCATGCTACTCCATTTCCCCTGAGTCCTTGATTACATGCTTAAGATTTTACATTATTTATTCTACATCTAATATCTGCCTTATCTCACCATTCCCGATTTTCCTATGATAAACTTTGAATTTGAATAAAGAGAATAAGACAAAGAAAAAGCAGGAAAGACGTCAGCCTCTGAGTACCGGCTCCTCAGGAAACAGCAAGAAGCCTAGTGAAGGCAGGGAGCGAGCGGCGTCTGTCCCAGCGGCTTCTCGCGTCCCCACTCCTGGACTTGAAGGATCACCCATGATCACCAACCTCTGCCCACCGCTGTTCTCATGACTAAAACGCTGCTGTCACAGCGCTCCTCCTCATCTCCGGTCACTTGTCCACATTATCCCCTGGGCATCTGCTCTGGGCAAAGTCCTTGCCGCCCTCGGGGCTCCCAGTCGGTGGCGGAGGTCCCCCACGAAATCCCCCGGCTCTGCTGGACCGTGTCTGTCCTACAGCGAAGTAAGTGAGCGAGGCTTTCAACCCAACCTTCTTCTCTTCCAGCAAAATGATTCCATTCCCTCAATCACAGAGGAACTATGACCAATTCTTTTAATTTTCCGGCCTCTCCAGGGAGCCTCAATGTCACATAATGGGAGAAAGAACACAGGCCAGGTCCCGCTGTAGCGTGGGCAAAGACCTTGTCACACAACCAAGGATGATGCTCTGCATTCCTCTGAAGAGTAACAAACATTTCTGCTTTTTCCTCACTGGTTTTCTTTTCAGTGTTCTATTCTTAATACAGAAGATTCTAGAAACGGGATCAAGTTGCTAAACAAAATCTGTGGCCTCAAATGTACTAGAAAATAGCATTATATTAGGCGGGAATGAATCCTTGAAAAACCGTTTGTGGCTCCCTGCTCCCTAGAAGTCGCTGCCCTCTGAGGGCCCCGCTCCTTCTGCGCACAGACCTTTTCACTACAGTGAGCACTTCCACAAGGACTGTGATTTAGGGAAATCTCTGCTTTCTTCTTATAAAATATTGGTTCTCCCAAGAAAACCATATTCATCTTCTAGATCAAATACCCTCCACAGCATTTTCAGCTCTACTGAAGACGGCAGGAGCCGCGCAGGCATGTCTCTTGTTGAGTCACCAAGTACAAAAACTCTCGAGAGAAAAGGCAGCTAAAATGTTCATGTTCAGATTCTGACTTGTGCCAATCACATTTCAAAAAAACCGTTTTCCCCACTAACAGCTTTATTTTCTAAGTGTTTCTGTGCAGTGAATGTGCAGAGCGCCCCGGATGGCATGTGTGGGAAGGCTGGTGCTTGTCTGGCCTCAGCCAGCGAGGGGCAGAAGCTGCCCTGGGTCCCTGGGCCACAGCAGGCCCCGTGGCAGCCGGCAAAGAGTGGAGCCCGGGCCGCCAGGCCCTGACAGTGGGCTGCTGGACTTCCTTCCCGAGGAGGCATATTTACTGCTATGAGGCTGCCTGTTGGCTGAGAATTAAAAGAGAGTCTTCATTCTGCCACTTCAGTGCCACATTTCTGCAGGTAAAGAAGTCTAAATCTCGCAGATAACCATGTGAGGCCCACACCAGGACAGTCTTTAAAGCAGCTTCTCTCGTTCCCTCCAGCCCCCTCCCATTCTCTCACGCCCGGTAGACAGTGAGTGGCAAGTATCTGGTCAGGGCCCCAGGAGGGGCTGCGAGCTGGGGGTGCTGGGCAGGATTCAGGGGCTGCCTGCAGGCAGGGGCCGCAGAGGGAGGGGAGCTGCCGGCTGCCAGGGTGCTGGCTGCCTGGGCCAGGGCCCGTCACAGCCGGTCAACGTCCATAAACATGTTGCTGCTCCGAAAGGAGGTTCACAGGGAAGAAGGGTGGTAATGAACATGCACTCTGCTAAGAACACCGGACAACACCCATCCAGGAGAAGAAAACAGGTGAGCAGCTCTACATTCTCCAGCTGAGTCCCCGGATCCAACAGCATCAGCTGCCTAATCGTCTTAGAACATTTAACAAATGACTGATATGGCAGTAAAAGCTACTAGATCTCAAAGAAATCCTCTTTTTCTGTAAGAGGAAGGCAGAGGACCATTAATGGATATAATGCAAGACGACACATTCCAAAATCTGTTCAATTAATTAACACCAGTGAGAACAATCTGGCATGTTACTGCAGCTGTTTATAGAAAAGGAACAGTCTGCCTTTCTAACTGCTGATTTGTTCTAAAAAATAACTCCATTCTGTTTCACAAAAGCAAGGTGGCAAGTGGGCAGCCTGGCCGGCTGACGGTGCCTCTGAGGCTTTGAGGAAGGAGCCCCTGGGCTGTAGCAGCCAGGGAGCTGCAGTGGTTTCTCACCAGCAACACGACCCAAAGCTGCAAGAAGAGAAGATGACGTGACATGCAACCACAGTTCAAGGTTCCCCGGATTCTCCTTTCATCTGTCTCTGCCTCTTCAGGGAGCCCAGGAGATATCCAGAGACCATCACACTGAAACCGCTGCCCTTGTGCCCTAGAAGGACCCCAGAGCCGCACTTCACAGCCCCGGAGGCCACGCCCTCCAGCAGGGGCCCTGGGCCACACAGGGCAGGCTGCTGGTGCCTGCCTGTGCCTCAGCCCCCTCTGCCAAGCTCTTGCATCTGATTTTCCTCTCTATAGACCCTGAATCGGGAAATAAGATGGCAAGTCCAGTGTCCTCCTGACCCTAACTGGGGTTTAACCTGTCAGGCCCAGATGATGCTGCTGGACTCACACTTTGGGGCCGTCCAGAGCACAGTACCAGGGCAGGGCAAGACCCCACTTCTGATGCCCACAGAAGCCAGACTTCCCTAAGCCTACAATTGTAGGTGGATTCTGATAGCCACTTCGGAAGTTACTGTAATAAACGGGCTTCCTGTCTCAGCCCAGAAATGAACTTATGACCCTTTAAAGATGCTGAGTCACTAAGCTTACTCAGCGCTATCTCCATCTAAAATGACATACATTCTTTCAAGAACAGAGTTGCTGTTAGTGATAAAATGTGACATGCCAGGAAAAACATTCTATTATAACATTCAACATTTTATATTCTTGATGAAGAAGGTGAGACACCAGGTTCAGATTATATTCTAGAAACTGCGCTGGGTGACTTAAAACACCTTCCAACATTTCAGCCTCATTTTAGAAGTTCTCGAAATTGAGCAATAAAATGCCAGTAACGACATTCTCATCCTGACACCCGCCATGAGTGTGGAGTCAGGAATAAGGCAGGTCAGGCGAATCTTGAAGAGTCTGGTTCTGGACAGCTGCGGCTTTGAAATACAAGTCAATCACGAAAAAAGAACTATGGCTAAGGATGTTGAAACGCTTTTAATTTATCTGTTATCAAATAGATTTTAAAACTGCTTTGCCGTGGTCTTTTTAGTCCTACATTTCCTGACATCATATTGTGGTCAGTCCTTCCTTAGGCCCCTCCGTTCACGCCCACGCTTTTTGGCTGAGTGCTTCTTGCATGGGGCCTGTATTCCCCTTCACACAGTGGGTCACAGAGCCAAGAATACTACGGATTGGCTAATCTGCTGCTTTAATAAAATTAAAAAGAGGGTTATTCAACCTGTAGAGCTCCAGGTGCCTCTGCTCAAGAGCAGGTCTCTCAGCGGGAGAGGGATGGGATCCCCGGAGGCCGTCCAGCCCTGCACCCCCTTTCTGGAGGGCAGAGACCTGCCAGATTTGGGAGCTGGTGAGTGGCAGAGCCACGACACACAGCAGGGTCTGAGTCGGGGGCTTCTGCAACCCCACTACCCTCTTCCACACTAGGATTGTACTGGTAACTTTCTGAGATAAAATATGTACTCACGGCTTTGCATTTACAGAGCCTACCTATTTCTTTTCTTTTTTTAAGATTGGCACCTGAGCTAACAACTGTTGCCAATCTTTTTCTTCTTTTTTCTCCCCAAATCCCCCCAGCACGTAGTTGTATATTATTAGTTGTGGGTCCTTCTAGTTGTGGCATGTGGGACGCCGCCTCAGCATGGCCTGAGGAGCAGTGCCGTGTCTGCACCCAGGATCCAAACCGAGGAAACCCTGGGCCGCTGCAGCGGAGCGTGGGAACTTAACCACTCAGCCACGGGGCCAGCCGCCAATCTTTTTTTTCCAATGCCTTCCAAAATCACATATTTAGTTGTCCTAAAAGAGTCCACAAATGCCAAAAGTTCTATTTAACAAAGGAAACTGTCTCAAAGAAGCTGAGACCACGACAGAGATGCGTCAGCACCTTCCCTTGCCGAAGCCCACTGTGAAGTCAAGCCCAGGGCAAAGTTCTGGGCACCGACAGGCAGCAGCACTCTCTGTAAAGAGCTGGGCCTCCTTCTGGCCTGGAAACTAGCAGGCCCGCATCATAATTTGGTTATTCATTCATTTAATACACGTTTACTGAATATCTCTACTAGGCTAGCACCTGGCTGGGAGCTGGGACTAGCAGCGAATAAGGCAAGCCAAATCCTTCTTCTCAGAACTACTGCATCCTAGTTGGAGAACAGTGAACAAAGAAACAAATGAATTAACCAGGAGAACATCAGCAAGTCAAGGCGTCAGTGCAGAGAAGGAAGAGGCAGGGCTCCGGGTCCGACAGGGTCCCGCTCTCTAGACGGGGAGGGGAAAGAAAGCTCTCTGGTGAAGTGACATTTCAGCTGAGATCTGAAGGACAGGAGCCATTCATGTGGAGGTCTGGGAAAACAGACTCTAGGCAGAGAGCACAGGATCCACAAGTCCCAGGGAAGATGGCATGTTCAAGCTGTGACTGGGTCACGGGACAGTGGGGGAAGATGGAACAGGAGGAGGTCAGAGAGGTGCATGGACCCCGACCAGACAGGGTTGTGTGAGCCGCGTGAGGAGCTTGGATTCAGAGTACAGCGGGAGTCCTCAGAGGGAGGAGCAGGGAGACAAGGTGGTCTGATTACAGTTACGGTTATATGCAAACCGCGAGGCCCAGCAGCTGCTCTTGGTGGAAAGCGCTCACGGGCCAATCCAACAGCTCACTGGCAGTGCCCAGCATTTCAGACAAGGGCATCACCACAGTCCACGCAGGCCAGGGAAACTATGCCAAGGCCTGGGCCCACGGTTTCTGCTCAGACAATCCTGAGCTGCTTGCCCACAACTCTATAGGCTTTCTAGCACTGTCTTCAACTTTTTGAGATTCTAAGAAGCCAGTAATGCGCACAGACAGAAGGGAGGCCCACCGCCCACCACTGGTGATATACCACGGGCAGCACTTCAACACACTGATATTTCACACCTTAACCTGGGCACTGGCCCAGCTGCTGAGTCCTGCCCCTGGTGATGGCTGACGCTAACTGTGGGACTTGGGGAGGCTCAATGTCTCCCTGGGTGTCAATTTCTTCCCTTAGAAAATGAAAGGTAAGAGGTTCTTAACTTCTTCCAAGTCTAAAGAAAGAAAAGTGCACATATGCATACATAATTACATTTTTCATTTCAGGGTGTTCGCAGTCCCTTGTTGTCAGGTCATGGGCCCTGGACTAAACTCTCAGCCGAAATGACCCCTTGAGTGCCTTCCAGTACTGTAATCAGTTGACCACAACCACAGCTGGACCAGAGCTGCACCTCAACCTTCCCCTGCACGGGCACTCAATGCATCAGCACTATCAACTAATCTGCCTCTGAACAAGGAGAAAGAGGAGAAGAAACGAAGGAAAGGATACACAGGAAAAGAAGAGGAGGAAAAGCTAACCTGATGTTGTGTGAGCCAAAAGACACGTGACTCAAAGGGACCTTTTAGCTCTCCAAATGCGTGCCCAAAACTCAGCATTATCCTCACTCCTAACCCAATGATGACAGACACAGACCTTTCTCAGCATGTGGGAACGTTTACAAAGCATGATTGATACCCTTTTCTTCCAGTAAAGTCCACTTATTTAGGGTATTTATCAAAGTGTGGGGCACACACTAGTGTATGTGGGCTGATTTTAAACCGTGCATGAATGTATAGTTTTAACAGATATGAAATTTAATTTATATCATCAAAAAATTACTAGCAAACTAACTTATGTCTTCACAGGTATTATTCTTAAGACAAAGCTAAGTAACAGAGAGTGATTCAATGCAAAGTGAATTTAAAAACTATTAAGTAAGCAGGAGACCAGAACTAGCAAAGTTCTGAAGGTGGCACGTGAAGGAGCCATCTGGGAACACGGGGGTTCTCCACTTAGGGATCTTTTCAGCGGACGTCAAAGAATCCACTGAAGAACAGGAAGGAAGGCCTCATTAGTCTCTAATTTGGCCCATCATTCTCAGGTTATAATTTTCCCACATATAATTTTTCACACCCAAAAAAACATTTCTCTCAGCTACCTGTCTTTAGCTATTCCCACACTGGTAACTCTACCTTCTTAAGTGGAATGGAGTAAGTCACTAGGGAATTTGATCTTGAAAAATAGCCAATTAAAAAATGACTATTTTCTTCAATTTTATTAGTATGTTATCAATTGCCTTCTACATTTACTCACATTTTTCAGGTGGTGTTATTGTAATAGTCTGAGCCGTAAATTCTTCATCAAAATATCTGGTATCTGTCTCAGATGTTACTTGAGGCTTAAACGGAGGTACAAGCTGTAAGAAGAAAGAGAGGACTGTTAACAGATTTTAGTTTAGGAAGATTCATTTCTAGAATAAAATTAGCAAATAATGGAATGAACAGCACAAGAGATTACATGCTGAGTCACTGCGTAAGGTCAACGTGGTGGCTGGCTTCCCAATCAACAGTCTAAACACAGAATAGTAGGTACCTGGTTGTTCTGAATAAAGTTTGAGGGGTTATGTGAAATAGAACAAATGAGAACCAAAGAATAGGGTGGGAAGAGGATATTGAAAAGTCTGTCCTCATATTTTTCCCCAGTAACAAAAGCACATACAAAGCCGTATGGATGTAGACCACTGCAACAAAATGTGGGCTCCTCCTCGTGTGGCAAAGCACAACCTTGCCCGCTTTCCTCGACCTGCCTTCCTGGTGCCTGGCCGAACAGGTTATTATTGAAAACGTAACTTGATAATACAGCTATTCTCTAGGTCACAGGGAGAGTGCTGCCTCCGAAGCTGGCAAAGAAGTGGAACTTTGCTTACTTGAGATGGGCATTAATGCCAGCCCCCGTTCTGGAACAGGGGTTCTTGGCAGCCCCTGACGTTTTATGTAAATGTTTCATTCAGAGTTCTCATCACCTCCTCAAAGAGGACCACGACTCAAAAGAGATTAAGAGTAACTGCACTAGGATTGACGGAACTGGACTCATTTGCCTCAGATGGGCAGCGGGCATGGGGTGGGGCAAGTCTGGGGTTCCTGAAGGTGACAGAGCCCGAGCCGCGTGAACCTCCGCCTCTGTGACCTCCACCGGCCACAAGGGAGCCGGAGCCAGGACAGGGTTCCTGCTCCTGAGGGCTCCCTCCTCAAGGCAGAGCCTGCAGGCTGCTTGTTGCCCAGGAAGCTCAGTCCCAGGGCCTGGAGTCGGAGTGCACGCTCTGAGGCACACGGGTCATTACAGGCGGTGCTGCTTTTAGAAGGAACTTCCCATGTGGATAGAAAAATGGGAAACAGAATGACAGAAATCAGTATGTTTTATAAAAATTTTACAGAAAAGAAATACACAATTGCCCTCACATCAATGCATTTTCCTATTCTTACTGTCACCAAATTTACGTTAAGTAATATAGCAAAAATCTTTAAATTATTCTCTAGACAGCGTTTTAAAAAACCAGGGGATGAGGAGAATTAAAAGCAAGTTTTCAAAATAAAGGACTGTCTTTCAGTTTACAGCATGTTACGAAGCATTTTGTCTCTGTTCTGCCATTCTTTCTCCGGACATCCAGGACACAGCTATGCTAAGGTCTCCACTGAGCAAGTGCTCTTGGAGACCACGCAGACGCAGGCGCCCGTCATTGGCTGGTAACTGTCACTGCAGAGCAACAGGCCTCCTCCCACAGCACCCTCATCCGGCAGGAACAAGCTCCTCCCCAGTGGGGGAACCGGCCGAGGAGCCAGGCCATGCTTCTTTCAAGCTGCTTTGAGGGTGACTGGCACAAGCACGCTGCTCCCTGCACTGATGGAAACCCTGTCTTCCATCAGACACAGTGCATTCTCTTCACCAGCATCGTACACACGCGCACAAGAACACCAAAGGTGCAGAGACGGGTGAATTCCTGGTTCTGTTAGATACTGAGGGTACGGTAACTGCCTCTGCCTGGCAGGCAACTGGAGACTGGGACGCTAGTTGTAACTTTCCTTCTGACTCACCATTCTACAAATGTTCAAAAAATAGATCTTCATCCTTCCAATCAAAAATTAACCACAAAACTTCTTTTAGCACAAATGGGCTTCTATCAGGCCTGCGGAGTACTTCTGCCCACCCTTCCCATCTGGGTTCTTCTGATGGCAAACTTAAATCTGCCTTCAAGTTAGCAGGGAGCTCCATCCTTTCAGCTGAGGGAAAGAGTGGTCACTGGAAACTTGAAAAAACTGAAGCAGATCTTTAAAAAGTGTTCAAAAGATTACAGGACAGCTTAAGCTAGTCTCCGTTCAAATGTCATAACATACAGAAGACTGGCCTGCCCTCCTCTCTCAAACAGGTGCTCTGCTCGTCACTCTCCATCCTCACCCTGCTGTATTTTCCTCAGAAGACCTTCCAACAGCTGATATATACCCACACCTACACACATGCGTGCAAAATATATTTGTGTACTGTCGTCACCATCACGCCTCTTCCCCAATACAACATAAGTTCCACGAGGGCAAGGACTCCTAAAAAACAGTTTTACTGAGGTATGATTGACACATAATAAACTGCACATATTACGAGTGTTCAATTTGATAAGTTTTGACACATGTATAAACGCTTGAAACGGTCACCAGTCACAATGGTGAACACATCCATCACTTGCAAACGCTTTCTCTTGACCTTGTGTAATCCTGTCCTCTTGCCTATCCTCCTGCAGGCAGCGGCTGACATGCTTTCTGCCACAATTGATTTGTTCATATTGTCTAGACCTTTATGTAATCGGAATCATACAGTACGTATTCTTTCTCTGGTCTCTTTCATTTAGCATGATTATTTTGATATCCATCCATGTCACCGCCTGTATCAATATCTCATCCACTTTAGTGTTGGGGAATATTCCATCACACAGATGTACTACAGTTTATCCACTCACTTGTTGATGGACATGTGAGTGGCTTCCAGTTTGGGGCTATGACAAATAAAGCTGTTAGGCATCTTTATGTCCAAGTCTTTGTACAGACACAAGATCTGACTTATTTTGACAAATACCAAGGAGTGGAATGGCTGGGTCACACGGTAGATGTACATTTAACTGCTTAAGAACCTGCCAGACTATTCCCTAATGTAGTGGCATCATTTGACATTACTCCCAGCAGTGTATAAGAGTTCTACTTGTTCCACAGTGTTGCCAACATTAGTTTGGTCTTTTCAATATTAGACGTTCTAATATGTGGTGGTATTTCACTATGTTTTAATTTATATTTCCCTAATGAATAATGATCTTTTCCACAAGTTTATTTCTTCTTTGGTGAAGTGTCTGTTTAAATATTTGCCCATTTTTTTCTTGTCATTATATTTAGAGTTCTTTATATACTCTGTATTTATGTCCCTTATCAGATTTGTAATATGCAAATATTCTTCCAGTTTGTGGCTTTTCCTTTCATTCTCTTAACAGTGTCTTTTCAAGAACATTCTTAAGTTTGACAGAGTCCGATTTATCAATTTTTCTTTACGGATCATGCTTCTGCCTTATCTAAGAAATCTTTGCATAACCTATACCACGAAGATTTCCTCCTATGTTTTCTTCTAGATGGCTTTACATTTAGGACTATGATCCATTTTCAGTAAATTTTGTATACGCTGCAATTCTTTTTTTAACAAAATACAGATGTCCATTTGTTTCAGTACAGTTTGTTGAACTGAACTATCTTTGCACCTTTACTGAAAGTCAATTAACCATATACATGTGGGTCTATTTCCAGATTCTCTCTTGGGTTGCATTGATCTCTTCAACCATCTTTATGGACAAATAAAGACATTATCTGTCCATAACAAACTGACTTGATTATTGTGACTTAATCATAAGCTTTGAAGCCAGACAGTGTAGGTCCTCCAACTTTGTTTATTGTCAGAGTTATTTTGGCTACTCTAAGTCCTTTGCATTCCACACGAATTTTAGAACCAACCTCACAATTTGTACAAAACAGTGTGCTAGGATCTTGATTAGAGTTGTGTTGAATTTATAGACCAATTTTGAGGGAACTGACATCTTAAAAATATTGAGTTTTCTAAATCACGAACACAGCACATCTCGCCATCGCTTCAGGTTGTCTTCAATGTCTCTCTACCATCTTTTTTAGTTTTCAGTATAAAGGTCTTTCACATCTTTTGTAAAAAGTACTTCACATTTCTGCTGCTATAATAAATGAGATTTCTTTTAATTTTCATTTCAGATTGTCTGTTGCTGCTGCATAAAATTACAGTTGTTTTGGATCCTGCAATCTTTTATATATTTATCTTGTATCAAGCAACCCATGGGTTAAACTCTTGCAGCTTTTTTGTAGATTTTATCTGATTTTCTACACAGGTAATCATGTTGTCCATGAATAAAGACAGATTTACTTTTTCCTTTCCAACTTGTATGCATTTTCTTTCTTTGTCTTGTCTTCCCACACTGGCCAGACCCTCCAGTACAGTGCTGAACAGAGTGTACATTTGTGTCTTGTGAGACCATTCAGTCTTTCTCCATCAAGGTACTGGCCATAAGTTTTCCCTGGATGTACTTTATCAGGTTGAAGAAGTTTCCTATCCTAGTTAGTGACAGTATTTTTGTTTGTTTGCTTTTTGTTTAAATCAGATATGGATGTTGGATTTTCTTGAACGCTTTTCTGCATCCACTGAGATACTCACGTGTATTTCTTTCCTAGTCTGTTAATACAGTAAATTATACTGATTTTTGAACGTTACGCCAACCTTGTATTCTTGGCATAAATACCACTTGGTAATGATGTGCTGTTTTTTTAATCAAGTGTTGGATTTGATTTCCTAAAATTATGTTAAGTATTTTTATATATGTTTTCATTAAGGAAATCTGCCTATAGTTTTCTTTTCTTGTACTATCTTTGCCTGCTTTTGGTATCAGATTAAGCTGGCCTCATAGAATGAATTGGGAAATATTCCCTCATCTTCAATTTTCTGGAAGAATTTGTATAGAATTGGTACTACTCCTTATTTAAGTATTTGGCAGAATTCACTGGTAAAGCCATATGGGTCTGGAGTCATCTTTGTGAGAAGGATTTTAACTACGAACATAATTTCTTTAATACATACAAGGCTATTCATGATGTCTATTTCTTGTTGGTAATTTGTGTCTTTCAAGAAATCTGTCCATTTCAGCAAAATTGTTGAATTTGGGGCTGGCCAGGTGGCACAGTGGTTAAGTGTGCACGTTCTGCTTCGGTGGCCCGGGTTTCACCAGGTCGGATCCTGGGTGCGAACATGGTACCGCTTGGCAAACCATGCTGTGGTAGGCGTCCCACATATAAAGTGGAGGAAGATGGGCAC